AGGGGGTATTGAAGGGTTGCAGGTGAAAACTAAACTGTTTGCTGATATGACTGTCTAGGAACAGAGAGGTCCCACAGACCTCAGCACACCATGAGAATGACAGGTTCACTCCAGCCACTTCCTGGTTCCCCTGGTTTTTTTCAGTCTCTTGTGTCATATCCAGAAGCTTTGGGGCTCATTTCCACCAACGCGGTGCCGGACCAGGTTCTTTCCCCAAATCTGGAACTGGTTCCACGCTTTTCCACCAGAAAAAAAATGGCCCTGGGCCAGAAAATGGCTCCACTGAAAACGAAAGTGGGACAGACTATTGTGTCCAAATCTTCCGCATACCCAGAAAATTCAATCCATAACCAATAATGTTTTGTTTCAAGTTTCTTGACATATACAGATAGCAAAGTACAATCATTACCTGTAATGAAGTTTCTTGGACTCAGAGCCCCGCATATTTGCACACTAAATTAACACTTAAGAGTAAAAATATCACCAGTGCCAGCAGTGAAACAAATTGCCAGCTTATTAGCGAAATAACATTACATCGATTTTTTTATTCTGTGGAAACCGAAAGATCAATCTGCTGGTCAGATTTATTAATTATAAACATGTCACAGGTCGAATAAATAAAATTATGATGATCATATGGGGAAGAGATCATGAGGCGGACAGCAAAGTTCAATTTTGAGCAGATTCTTAGTGCAAGGTCCTTAAGGTGGGAACAAGAATAAACTCACACACACTGACTCGGGTGAAGTACAGCCTTTAAGGAAACAAAAGTAGATACAAGCAATAGAGACACAACACAATGAGTCATACTCTCAAAACTGCGAAATTTAAAGGCTCATTTTCTTCATTTTGTCACTTATACAAACTTAATCCAAAATATAAATTTTTAAAAAAGATTTTTTTAAAAGGGGCAGTGGTGGTCTTATGTTTAGGGTGGCACACTTGTAATAGTAAGATTGCAGGTTTGAATCTCCAATTGGCGCAGTACCACTGAGGTACCCTGAACAAGGTACTGTTCCGAGTATGCTGAATTAGCTGCCTCTTGCACATATGGGTTAAATGCAGAGGACACATTTCATTGTTGTGTGCATGTTGTGTGTCAACAATGACAACTGATCACATAAATAAACAAACAGAATTCATATGAACCTTTACTTCCACCTATGTAACATGTTTACATTCTGTTCTTTTTTGAAACCGGTGGAAATGCAGGCAGGTTCTCAAAGAGCACCAAGCAAGAACCAGCCCAGTACTGACTCTGTGTTGGTGGAAAAAACACACACAACCCACCATACAACACTGCATCAAAACCCCATACACTAGTCAGCAGCCGTACATGTAGCAACAAACGGGAGAAGAGCCACTGTGGCTGCAGAAGTGGCAGTAAGAGTTAGTACAGTACATGGCAGTAAGAGTTAGTACAGTACATGGCAGTAAGAGTTAGTACAGTTCATTCGTAAACAGGGTGCCCTGTAACTGGCATCCTCCCAGCAGGAGATGAATGCTCACCATGGATCTGTTGTTGCTCCAAATTTTTACCAAGTCCTGCTAAATCCTCTGAAAATGAGGTATTCTGTGAAAAAGGAAGAGATTGCTCATGTTTAATGATCAATGAACAATCCACAATCATTGTTAATATCCAAGTAGCAGGGATCAAATCTAGGAAACCTGGCAGAGATTGAGTTGAAATCCAAATTCAGAGTTGATATTTAACAAGATTCTAAACAAAAATCTCAATTCCGAGCCAAGAGGACTGAGACAGCGTGTGACTCAGTGGGCTAAGCCTCTGTGTCTATGATCAGAAAGTCACCAGTTTGAACACGGCCTCGGCAGAATAGTCATCGCTGTGGGCTCCTGTGCAAGGCCCTTAACCCCCACCCCTAGGGGGTGCTATTACAGAGCCTTCTCTTGCTTTATTTATCTGTCTATCTTCTGACCTGTGTCTTTCTAATAATGACACTTTATTGCGGAGAAATTCTCTTCACCTACCCCCCATCTTACTTTCCCTAACACAAGCAGGTGAGAGCAAGCTCGGCAGCAAAGGGCAGCCCCCCCATAGGGGTGGGGGTTACGGGCCTGTTTCAGAGAGGTAAAAAGGGAGGTAGTGGGAGTGTATGAATTGTCAACAGGCAGCAGGGTCCTAGAATATGGATCCTGACGTGTGCAGCTGAACAGGGCTTTATTTATGAAACTACTTCCAGGAGTTCAGTGCAGGATTCAGTGAGAAGGTACCGCCTCAGGCAGTCAGCCAACAAGTGGGGAGAAGTCGTTCCAAATTGAGGAGACGCTTATGCGCTTTCTAGTGAAAAAAGTAAGTGATAGGATTAGTAATGACCAGCTCTTTCCTCCTCTCGCTGTCTCTCCCGATTCCAGTAAATCCTCCTTGGGAAAAGCCTCCAGAGGAGTGAACCATGACCCGCTGATTGCCTGCCAGCGGCGGTTTGTTTGGTTTCCGCACATGTTGGAGGGAGTAATTAGTGGCTGCGGACTGTGGTGCTGAAACTGGATTAGCGGTAGTTAGGCGATCTCCCGTCGCCCGACCCCCAAAAATGTGTTGACTAATTAGAAGCAGGTGACTTCAGTCTTCAGGTGGGAGAGCTGAGCTGAACACAGTGGAAGGGCAGGACTGCATGTGGAATCTGGATTCTGGTAATATGACAATAACCCGATTGTGCAGTTGAGTCGTTTTATGACTATATATATTAATGGAAAATGGACCCTGACCTGAAAAAGGAGATAGGAGATGCATAGATGGATGTTTATTAAAAATCTGAATGGGATGAATCGTGTGGTGGGTGTACACAGTTTATTTTTCTAATGAAATCTACCTTATTTGTTGTTCAGTAGCTGAATTACAAGAATAGCAAATAAATAGATGATGCTCAAATCAGGGTTCCAGCTTGTGGCTTCAAGTATATCATTTCTGTTTTTTATATCCACATTGTTCAGCATAAGAATTTGCATGTTTAATAACTATGTTTAAAACGGCGAAAACAATCACTTGGTTAGTACTGAAATGATGGCGTTTAATGCAGCTGGTTTTTGCACGTGATAATATGTCACGCATGGAAACTTTTATCTGTAAGCATTTTTATATACAAAAAAACTTTGATAAAACTAAGGATGGTTTTATACCAGGGGTGGGCAATCTTATCCAGAAAGGGTCGCTGTGTGTGCCGGTTTTTGCTGCAACTTCCTAATTAGATTACTAATTAGAGGACTGATTGGCTGAAGAGTCCTCACACCTGGGTTTGAACAGCTGACCTAAAGGTTATCCCAAAAACGTGCATACACACCGGCCTTTTGCAGATAAGATTGCCCACCAGTTTTATACTAATAATCCATTAAAGCCAACTGTCTTCCAGACTGTGAGCACAGCTTTACTAGTTATTCCTTTGCTTTTGACCTTTTTAATTACCTTTCATTTATGCAATAAACATGTCTTTGTCACTGAACCAATAGCTCAGTGTTCTTGCCATATAAACATAAAAAATTCCATTTTACACATCTGATTTTTTTTTTATTATTTATTTCATTGAACCCTTCATACCTATCCATTTGTTTCTTAGCTATGGACCTATTTGCATTGTTTAGAATACATCTTCCTAAAATTGCATAAAGCTATCTTAAATTCTTAAATAATATCTTCTGGACTTATTTCAAAATAAAGTGGCTTTTTTAAGTTTTAATGTATGCATTACTGTATTTGAGATTATGAGAACTGAGCAGAATAATAAGCAAGTTTATGTTAATGTTTATGAGCATGGTGCGGGAAAGAATAGAAGCAAATTGGAAAGTAGAAAGTCAGACATGGAGTTTACTATGATAAAAATAAAGGTGAGTTACATTTATTAAAACCTACAAGCGTCTTGCTTGACTGAACACAAGACTTGTACATTCCCATCCACTGTTTTAAATATTATAGAATTTTATTTAATTTCCTGCAGTTTTGGATTGACTGTATGGTAATTCATAATTTTCAGATCACTTTCAAAAAGTAGTTGCCCCCAATCCTGACAAAGTTCTTCACCACCCCCACACCATGGATGTTGGATCTTTAATGGGAACCAGACCACACCATCTCTCTCCACTAAGCCCAAAGAAAAACATTCACTTTGTGGAACAAAGATTCTGAACGTTTCATCTATTTCCATGCAATTGCAACATACAGCAGAGTAGAAGTCTAGGGTGGGGAACGGATGAAGAATGAGGGGCTTGGTTGAAAGAGGGTGGGAAAGCCCTCCGTGAAACATAGTGAGAGAATCTCCCCAAAAGCACGATTGTGCTCCATCACTCCATGGTGAAAATCTAATTTCAACTTGATCGCTGCCGAGTTTCAAAATTGACTGGCTTTACAGTAAATAAAGTGTAATCTTCACCAAATTAAAATAAAATCTTCAGTAAACTAAAATTAAATTAAATAGTTAATTAATTAATCTTCACTAAGAATATAATCATCAGTAAAAAAAATAAATAAAAAAAATTCCAAACACCACAGATCCTTCATACGAGCAAGATTTTATGATGTAGGCTACTGGTAATTCTTCTATATTTGCTATTACTTGTAAAAGTTTAAAGTTGAACAAATATTTCGAGCATAATACATGCATATATTACTGTAGGTCCATACCACAGAAACTTATAATAATCCTGATATGGTTTTATGCAACGTTGTAGTTCGTTATTTTGAAACTTTCAATTCAATTCAAGAAGGTTTACTAAATATTTATTACATAAGTGAAACATACAAAACTGGAATACATACCAGGTATAAACGTTAATTATGGTACAACGAGATGTTAAACGAGAAAGTGGGCATATTTCATTTTTTGTGATAGTGGCAGCAATACGCCGACGTAACTACCAAAGTACAACTGTCTTTAAAATGCGAGCAGCACGTGAAAGTTTCTGGAAGGGACGCACGTGTTCGAGTGTATGATCGTTCCGCGTTTCAGCGGGTGGTGCTTGTCTGTGTATTGACTCTACAGCATATAAAATGTCCTGCCCTAATCTACTTAAGGAAGAGACCGGAATGTCATCTCTCATGTCAGCAGGGAGTGAGGAACGGGCTGCGTCTGAAACCATGCTCGGTAACCGAGTTAACGATTCGTGCAGTAATGAAAAATGAACACGTGCGTCGTTCTGGGAACATAATACTTTTCAAAAAAATCTAGACTTATGTGTCGACTTCAGTTGCATTGTTATTAGAGCAAAGAAAAAAAGATTTTGCTTTGGTGAACTTTTGTATTGGATACTAACGATAGTAGTGTATATTTGTGTACTGCCCCTTTTCAATCTCAAATCAATCGGCGTTTTGGAACAGTGGTATGGCTAATGTAGCCCACATGGATCTAGGGTTTTTGCTTTTTGTTGGACTAACAACTGCTTTTGCAAAAGGTAAGTTTACAAAATACGTGCATTAGTTTAATTCATAAGTAATATATGAGACTCCGTTTATTGCAAACTGCTGGTAGGACGTGTTTACTATGTAACTTTAATTTACAGGTGAAAGTAGTGGTATTACTCTTAGAAAATAATAATACCGGTAACTAAAAGAAAAGCACTGTTTATAAATTTGCTGTGCAAAGTGTTTTCACTAAGTTAATTAAATACATTTCTGATGCAATTGAGTCCTGTACACACTGAAAGTTTGAAAAGTCTTGTTTTGTTTAACTTGCCAGATGAACTCCCAGTATGAAATCATCTGAAATTAAAATTTAAACTTCCTTAACGCATGGTTAATAAATTTATAATAATTTACTGAAAACCCCGTCGAACCTTAAAGTGCGACCCAAGTGTTTCTGCAAAACAACAGCAATCGCACGTTTAGTCTCTCTGGGTAACAATGATTTTAATGTTTAAACTGTCAAAGGCAACTTTAGCGGTTTAATCTTCCAGATCAGTTTTGATAATCTGCTGGTGTGCGCGCTTTTCCCACTTGCTAATGTCGTTAATCTTGTCAGTACTTGTAAATCTCTTTTCTCTAATCGCCCGATAAAAATCGACTCCAGTTCAGTAAGCATTCGATTTTGAAAGGATTTCTTTAGATTTTGACTTATAAGTCATGAGTAAACCTACAAATATATAAATCGACTGACTTTAAAGTAACAAATAGCCCTGTAGTATGAATTGTCACGTTTCATTTATGGGGTACCCGTCCTCTCCAATGTCACCCATGTTACGCACGGTCTAATTTAAGGTTCCGCGGCTCTTAACAAGGAGGCGATCCGGGAAAACGGACTTGAGGCGCTGCAATTGGATACCCTGTCAACTCGCCCTACTGTGGAACTAAGCATCCCCTCCAGGGCCATTAAGAGCGCGGATGCTGTTTGTCCGGACTGCGAAGCGTCAAAGCCGCGGAGGAGGCAGAGGCGCTGTACGTGTTACACTTACAAAGACAAGGAGTGCGTGTATTACTGTCACCTGGACATCATCTGGATCAACACGCCAGAGTGAGTACCGACTCTAACGCATGACAGCTCAATACAAAGAGGTTGAGGTTGAGCTTCGGTGCAAATATTTAATAAACGATTTTCTTTATCGGTTTCTTATTCTCTTGCTCAGTGCTGTTTATTTCTGTTTTATATTTTAATAGTAAAACAAGACTCTATTACCCTAATTTGACAAGGTGAGAAAATTAAGGTTAAATCAGTTTCCTTTTTGTGTGTCCACCTGTCATTCCTATTTACAAAAAGGTTGAGCACTAGCAACACAGTTGTTTAAGTTTTTGTGTTCCGTTCCCACCCTGTGTGGGTGTGTGTGTGGAGATTGCATATTTTCCGTCTGTTTGAAGGTGTTTTTTTCTTGTTACCTTCTATCAGTACATAAACATGCAGTTACTGTAGACAATCTGATACCTGTGTGCCCTGCAATGTGCAGGTGTCCCATTTGATCTTTGGTTTAAGGTGTCTCTACACTTTTACACAGCAGTTACACTGAAGGGGAAAGTGTGTTTTTAGGGTTCTGTGGTCACTGCTGTGTATCTTTTCTGGATCTTCTTGAAGCAATAGGAGCAACATTGGCTTGTTTTTCTGCTGACGAACAACATGAAATGATAACAAGGAGTACAAGCTTGGGTCTCATTCTGTGAGAGTACATTTTTCATCATTTTAATCCCACATCGCAAATTCAAAGTACTTGAATTCAAGTGAACATTTTAATGTTTCTTAGTACTAACAAAACACTTTTGAGACTGACAATACAACAGCAGGCATGGTGCTTATGTAAATTGATCTTACAGATATCACATTTAACGTAGCTAATTAGACAAGCTGCAAAAGTATTATATTTTAGCAATATAATAGACAATTGGACTGTAACAAGACAGAGGACTTTTTTGTTTTATTTCCAGACAGAGGACTTTTATTTTGTTTTATGTCTTTCCTCAGTCCTAGGAGTGGAACTTGCAGTACTAACTGTGCAAGCATAGTAATATTCTGATATGGTTAACTGAATACATTTATTGTGCTCTGTTATTACAGCAGTGATTTTTTTTTTTACAAGTTCACTTTTAATGTGTTGATTGATGTATGAGTATGATTTTGTCTTACAATTCTCCCACAAATGATAACCTGCTCTTATACATAAGTATTTTTTTTTTTGCTTTGTATGTAAAAATTGTGACAATACAGTGTAATTAGAGTGTCCACAAGAGTCCGTTCCATGATTGCCATCCACTGTGTTCTTTTGATGGTATTGTAATTTCTCTATGTTGTTCAGCCAACTGCAGATCCCTTGGAGACAGGAAACTGATTGTTAAGGTATTGAAAAATCAGTTCCACAGACTGGTGCAATACTATTATAAATATGCATATATAAGACTAGTGATTTAATGCATTTACATAGGACTTCAGAAATGGATTATTAAGGCACCATAAAATATCATGGTTACATGAAATCTCGTGATTGCTGTCAGATCTACTGAATGGTGTGAACAAGTTGACGTGTTGGAAACAAGGGAAATGGGCAAGCTTAGGGGTTTGAGCAACTTCAACAAGGCCAAATTGTGAGGGCTAGGCATGGGCGTCGCCGCATTTCATAATTATTTGTTTGGACCCCCCCACATTTAACATAAAATAATAGTTCACCCAGCGCTGTTTCTATTGCTTCACGAAAGAATCCATTCCACTTGATCGACATGAGAATAAACATAATTCATTCAGAAATTTCTGGGGGAGGGTCCCCAGACCCCCCAGCAGTGTGTCCCCCCCGCATTCAAAATGCTTCTTACGCCACTGTGGCTAGGCAATGGGTCAGGGCAGGTCTTGGGGGTTGTTCCCGCTATGCAGTGGTCAATAGCTACCAAAAATGGTCCAAGGAAGGCCAACCAGTGAACCGTCGATGGGGTCATGAGCGCCCAAGGCTCATTGATGCATGTGGAGAGTGAAGGTTGGGCCATGTGGTCTGATCCCACAGGAGAGCTTACGTATCACAGCTCGCTGTAAAAGTTAATGCTGACCATGAGAGAAAGGCGTCAGAACACACAGTGTGTCACAGCATGCTGAATATGGGTTTGCGTTGCAGCAGATCCCACTCTGACCCCTGTCTGCCTACAATGGGCACATGAGCATCAGAACTTGACCATGGAGCAATGGAAGAAGGTGGCCTGGTCTGATGAGTTTTCTGTTATATCATGTGGATGGGATCCAGCATGGTAGTGCAGTGATCAGTGTGTGGTGTGTTAATGCGCCCTGCGGTGGGTTCGCACCCCATCCTGGGGTAAATGTGCCCTGCGATGGGTTGGCACCCCATCCTGGGGTAAATGTGCCCTGCGATGGGTTGGCACCCCATCCTGGGTTGTTCCCTTCTTGCACCCGTAGCCTCTGGCAGAGGCTCCGGACCCCTTGTGACCCTGAACAGGACAAGTGGTTACTGAAAATGGATGGATCATGTGGACGGCTGGGTGCATGTGCATCGTTTACCTGGGGAAGAGATGGCACGAGGATGCACTATGGGACAAAGGAAAGGTGGCGGAGGCAGTGTCAATCTCTGGGCAATGTTCTGCTGGGAAACCTTGGGTGCTGGTCTTCTTGTTGATGTTACTTAGATACATACTATCTACCTAAACATTGTTGCAGACCAAATACACCACTTCATGGCAATGGTATTCCCCGATGGCAGGCTATTTCAGCAGGATAATGTGACCTGCCACACTGAGAAATTTGTTCAGGAATGGTTTGAGGAACATGAAAAAGAGTTAAAGGTGTTGAATTGCCTCCATACTCCTTAGATCTCAATCCCATCAAGCATTTGTGGGATGTGCTAAACAAACAAGTCGATCCATGGAACCCCACCGCACATCTTATAGGACTTAAAGGATCTGCTGCTAATGTCTTGATACCAGATACCACAGAACACCTTCAGAGGTCTTGTGGAGTCCATGCCTTGACGGGTCACAGCTGTTTTGGTGGCACGAGGGGGACCTACACAATATTAGGCAGGTAGTTTTAATATTATGGCTGATCGGTGTGTGCACTGCTGAAAAATACTGCAATCCATAGTACTTCCATAATGTAGGACCAACACAAGCATTTCTTCAAAGTCTTATAGATTTGACAGTTTCAGTCAAGCTGAAAGGCCACTGTCAATCTGACAATTCAAGCTAGAATCCTAGAACAACCCAGTGAATATTATGTAACACGTCAATTTGCCACATGTTTGTCCAGTTTTAATAAAAGGATGTAATTAGTACATATACTCTAGCACAGGGGTCACCAACATGGTGCCCGTGGGCACCAGGATGCCCCCAAGGACCACATGAGTCGCCCGCGGACCTGTTCTAAAAATAGCACAACTCACCAGTGAGCAGCGTCTAAAATTCCTGTTTAATAAATTCATGTTTATTATACATAAAGTTTAGATAAGTTTAGGAGGCATTTCAAACTGGTAGCCCTTCGTATGGCTCAGTACCTGTGCAGTAGCTCTGAGTTTCAAAAAGGCTGGTGACCCCTGATCTAGCACATTACCAGAAATTTTTGATATATGAACAAGACGGCCTAAATTGCTAACATTACAGTGAACAGTTGTATGCACCAAATTGTCTGATTTTGGAGCATGAACTATCAATTGTAGCAATAGAATGGAGTCCAAAAAGTGATTTATATGTTTTTATGCCAGTATAACTATAATCAATTTAAATGGCTTATTAAGAAGGAAATTCAACATTAGATCTGTTTCTTCCAAACCATTATTTCCTATTAATCTAAATTATTTTGCATGAACTCAAGGCTGTTGTGGAAGCCGTCAGGCAGCTTGGAGAGCAGAACAATTCAGTGTATGATGCTTAGGACAGACCACAGCATTATTCTTTTTCTACCGATAGATGGGAGCAGGGATGGCATGGAAAAAAAGTTGTGTTCCTTATTGAAAAATAGAAAATTACTAACGTTTGAGTAGTAGAGATGTTTGAATCTGGCAGAAGGGGAGGCTCTGGTTTGGATTTGCTGTTTAAACAAAGCTTAAGAAACTAATACAGAGACGGTGGGAATAAGGTGGAGCAGGCAGGAAGAGTTCAAGATGAATGCTGACAATGACCTGAGGTACCGAGTCGGCTCTGCACCACCCTTTCACACGGTTACCTGCTATTATTTTTAAATAGACATAAAGTAGCATCATGTACCGTCATGTAATAAAATATAAGCACTCAAATTCAATAAGGAATTTTGTGTTATGAAACAAAACTCGTTTTGTAGGTCACCTGTTTGAAACAGGTCTGCACATCGGTGAAATTTATAGTCTTATTAAAGCGCGGTAATGTTTCTAATATCAAACGAGGTCAGACATTAGATTTGTGCAAAAATCTCTCATGCAGAATGTCCAGAGACATCAAATGAATCTAGTAAAAAAAGAAGTAAAGGGTTATTTTCATAATCTTTTATGGAGACATTCTGCAGAGCTGATTAAATGGTTCATTTTCCATTTAAAGATTTTAGCATTTGGTAGGCTCTGGGTTACACCTAGAATTTTGCTGGTTATGTAATATCTCTGCAACTTTGTCATTTTATACTGTTTTAGATGTAAAATCAACGTAGGCATATGAGTAGAGCCTTTAGGTCATTTAAGTAACTACTGAATTACCTGGAATATCTCTTTACTATGTTCTTTTGTAGAATATATTGAATGGGGCTTATTGTACAAGTAATCAGGAATCATAGTTGGCTTAACTATAAACTCTCTTTTATTGTGGGTTTATTATTTTCTTCTGTAAAAGCCTTCAGGAATCTTATGAATGTTATGACATCAGAATAAATAATTAAGAGCCTTTAGCTTTTGCCCTTTGGCTTATCATGATTGCAGACACTCCTGGCGATGTAACGTGAGAACTTCACATGATCTTGTAGGAATGTAACTATGGCTTGTCATAGTACAGGGAAAGTACACTAATATACAGTAATAATGCATTACAGTCTGCAAATTCTATAAATAAGGAAGGGTATCAGCCAGCAATGAGCATGAAACAGCTTTTAATGAGCATGCATTTTCCAATTTTGCATTTTCATGTTTTGTTGACAGTCTGTTGCCTAGCTGATTTTTTTATTGTCTGAATTAGCTGAATAATGTACTGCAGCAGTGTAGATTACAAGCTGCCCTCCAGTTCTCAGTTTACATTGGGGGAAGCAGTTAATGTCCTGTTGCCCCCTAGTTATGTGACAATGTGAAAGCCAGGTACAAGGCTTTCATTTCTACAGAAAGAACAAATATTCAATTAAATCATAATAATATACAGAAAATGCAATTATAATCATAATTCATGAAATCTCATGCAAAAAATAACTTTGGAATATGTATTGGATTTCATTTTTTTAATTAATTAATGCGGTCTTGTATTCAGACAGAATAGCCTTATTTGAACTGGCATCCCATCCAGGTAGTTCCTTACCATGTGCCCTGTGCATTTTTGGGTTGGCTCATCACAACTGTACATTGGATAAGGTTATGGATGGATGGATGGATGGATGGATGGTCGGTCGGTCTGTCTGATTTGAACTGATTTGTCTGATTGGACTATAAAGGAACTAATCTGAATAACTGAGTGTAAAAGCAGAGTTTGATGTAAACATGTATCGATGAGACTGACTTTGTATTACATAGATGCTATAGTACAGTGTTTCCCAACCTGGTCGTCGGGAACCTTCAGACAGTCCACATTTTTGCTTCCAGGGAGCTGGGAGGGAGCAAAAATGTAGAGTCTCTGGGGACTGGGAAACACTGTTATAGTATATGTAAATGCTAGGTTTCATTTTGAATTTTTCTTACTATTAATGGCAGATTCTATCTTTGGTTAAATAAGAATGGTGTTGTGAAATCTTCTTTGGAGTTCATAGTGATTAATAGTTCCAAAAACAGTAAATTACTACCTTTCCTTTTGAATTTTAGATATGTTTTTTTTCCATCAGGGTAACAAATGGGTTCACTGATGATGGATATAGGTCATTCTCCTTCACAGTTATATAAGTAGTACCTACCTACACACATCAATTCCTTCTGTAGAACGTTCATAGTAGCTAAGTTATGAAGGCATCATATACGCATCCTGTGTCCCACATCAGTACCAAACCTCAGAAACACGTTGTGAACAGAGTTCAAACTGGAACTGCACTAAAAGCATGCCAATGCCTTTTATTGCCTCACCTTTGCCTACACCCAAGATAAATATCATTGCGCAGATCCTAAGTAAACCGCTGAGATTATTAGGAAGATCAAAGCTGCGTTTTATCTTCTGTACTCTTTGCCAGGCTATATTGTTTACCACTGATGGCCAAATTTATGTCACAGATTCATAATTCCTCAGGCACAGATGATCATCACGAAGCCTCGCTCGGCTACTTTGACCCAGGACTAGCTTCACCATCCATGAGACAGATTTTTTTTCGGACTGAGTTAGGGAAACGTTCACATTTAACTATTTACAGATGAGGTGGCGTGCGCTATATGTGAACTATGCACAGTGATTTTAAAAAGCATAACCTTGGTATGTCACCTGCTTACATTATGTCTGTGTCCTGGATATTCCTGGGTTCCAGTAGACCTTTAATGTGGATAAACTATGATCTTTCCTATTTATCAATAAACTAGGTCAACTGATGGTTAGATTGTGCTGTAAAGATGTCCAAAGTGTAAAGGTGGGGTTTTATTCTTTATTTATTATGCTGTAAAGGAAATATTCAGACTCAGCCCGTGCAACACGAGATAAATACATAAGCAGATAAAAGCTGTGAATAGAACCGTCATAATGCACTGTTGTGTGTAATTGATATTTTAATGCAGTAGTCATGCTTTTCTTGTGATGACACTAGCATTTAAGTAGATAAGCTTAAAAGAAAAATGATGCCTTATTTGCATATATAACATTTTTGGCATCGTTATGATTTGCTCTTTGAAAACAACCCACCATTTCTCATAGAGGCATGTATTTCAGATCAGATCGTACTCTTGCATAGTGTGTTGGAGTCAAGCTCCAGGAATTGCACGATGGAATTGCCACAATCCTGATACTGTTACAGTCCTGATACTGTTATGCTGTATGGGAAACTGTGCAGTTATTTGTGCTGGGGCTTGTCCATTTTGATTAACTACAAACTTACTCTGTGTTTCCCTGAGCTCACTGTTCCGCCAGGCTGGCGAGGCGGCATGAAAGCTTCCCCCTGTCGCCTCTCCTTTGAAGTCAGGTATCTCTCAGCAGGAAGCTGCGAGTGCCTTTATTCCCCCCACTTGATGGGTGCCACCATCAGACAGCTGGGCCTCGATGTGCGCTCTCCTCCAGGCACCATTTTTGTTTTCTGGTTATCACCATCTTTGGGACAACTGGGTCTCCCAAAAACACTACGTTTACAAGTGAAGTATAAAGCGCTGCTCATAATGGAAGATCCAAAAGGAACACCCCCCCCCACTCATCCTCCTTTGCCTCCTTCGAAAGCTCTGAGATCGGGGATTTGAATCCCATCCCCACTGTGTGTGTCTGTGTGAGAAGTCCGCATGTTCTCCACAAGTTCTGTAGGTTTCCTCTTGGGGACTCCTTTTCCTCCCATAGCTCAAAAACAGGCGTTTAGATCAAATAGGCTCATTGTGTGTGCCCACTGTGCTGGGCCAGGATCCCCCAGCATGGGATTCTGGGATACGCCTCAGGTCCACCGCCACCCTGTTCTGGATGAGCAGATGGAAGATGGATAGATGTGATCTGTGGGGTGGTCAGAATCACTTTGACGACCTTGGTTCTCTACCAAGTTTGCATTCTTCCATATTTGATATGTGTTTTTGTGTAGTGTACCTTTCATATGTAAAATGCAGCTTTAGATAAAAGGGAAGAATACATTTACGAGGTCAAAATGGCCAAGGATAGCTTGGATAATTGTACAATAAAGGTATTCCAACAAAGAATATTGAACAATCAGCTGAGTGTCTTAATTCTAAATCATAAAGAGTGATTGGAAGGGACAGGATATTGAAAGTTGTACTGGAGTGAAAACTAGAAATTCATCATACGAATGTAATGGAGTAAAGGTTCTGAAGTATTAAAAACACATTGCCAAGTTCCACTGCCATTGAACATGTGCTCCTGATGTAATATGAGCCTGCCATCCATTCTGCATCGACATAGCTAAGGTGACAGCGCAGGTGGTTCATGCACTGGATGCATGTTCAACCCTGTGCTCGTTTGCATATTGCTGCTGCCAGTGGCCCCACCTGCTTGGAGTGTGTAGGGGGAGGGTGAAGGGACCCCATTCTCATATATGCTGCGGCGTCGTGTTTTACACGAATGCCCCCTTTTAATTTAATGCCATATATGCATCTCCTGAAGTACATTTTTGTGTTTACATCACATCGTTTAAGTTAAAATAACACGTAGTAATCACATTCTTTTTTATAAAATGAGAATCATTTTTTTAAATCCATGAAATCTGAAAAACATGCACATGGCCCAGAGCACCATCTCCTCGATAAACTGAGAAGTCTGTGAAGTTGAAGGATCCATGACTGTAAAAAGATACTCTATACTATATACATAGGATCCCTTAGTAAGCAAATAATGTAAACTATGGCCCAGTCCGATTCAATCAGGTGGTCTAATTTCAAGGCTGCCTTTCCCTTTCCAGAATTCTTCACAGTCTCTAAAGCAGGATGTGCAATTATCCCCTACATTTTTGTTGATGAATTCTAACCTATTAGATCTGCATGCTCAAGCTTGATCCTCAACTAAGGTGTATTTATCTTTCTAAATGAGAATTGGGAGCAGAATGCCTAATGTTCTGACTTGATTTTGGCACTCTTCCCCAAAGCTCATGAAGACCGCCACAATGGATAGAGCATGAAGAATAATGAACCAGTATCATATCACTCAAGGTTTTATTATCACTAATACAACTGCAAGGTGCTGGGAATTCAGTGTAGTTCACATGCTTTAAATATTTTTTTTAGGAATTGCAGTTTGCTTGCGATTCCGTCTTTGCTTTTGGACTTCGAAAAGAGCTAAATGTTAATTTTCTTCTGCAATTCTAGGGCAAGTTATAACATATACAGCATAGCACTGATTATCCACTGCAGGAGCTGTTATGCAATTAAGATGTCAAAAGGTGTGACATAAATGATTGTTGTGTTAAACTATGTGCATAAACAATAAATGTACGTGCAGGGAATGACTGAAGAGTACATTCTTGTTCTTTGCTCACAATGAGCCAACACAGTTAAAAATAAGCAAGAAAAAGTACATTAATATATTCTGTGATTACTAGCTAACAATAATGCTGCTTTATGGCCTTAACAGTCACATTATTACACTGATATTCTGTCATTTTCAGTATGAAATTAATTTGTTGCATCGTAGTAGATTTTAGAATAGAACAAAGGAGAAACTTAACCAAATGTGAAAAACATTGTGTCTTTATAAGCATTAAAAATGTCATCTGATTAAAGTGATTTAAAAATACATTCATTTAGTTACTGCAGGTGTATGTTTGCCCATCAGTTCTGTCACCCATTAATAACAAAATTACACATATCCATTCATCCATCCTTCCATCAGTCCATCTGTAAATGCATACATGCATCCATCCATGCATACATCCATCCATCCATCAATGCATGCATGCATCTTGCGCACATTCTGCGGGCATCATCAGTTTTCCCTGCTTAAGCTTAAACGCACATGAATATCCAGCCATAGTGAGTTTCCGGGCCTCCATTCCTGATGCTGTGACATTTGCTGTGCTGTTCCTGTCACTGTGACTCACTGCGTCCCTCTGTCTGGCTATCTGCAGGCGCACAGTGCCCTACGGCATGTCCAGCTACCGCAGCCCGCAACGCATGCGCCGCTCCCCTGGAGGACCGCCGACAGACCCGAGAGCCGCGTGGTTTCCACGCTGTGCGTGCACCTCCCAGAGTGACCCGGAGTGCGGTCGATTCTGCACGGCACGGTAACGCACATGGCAACGTAACTTTCAGTATGTCCTGTATGTGCTGATCGCCTAAAGCTTTGCTAGCGGTGCAGTTATGGTTGTCATGATGGCCTTGCATGTTGAGGTTTGCCATATGGAATGCCGGTATTCATATCAGTTCAGCTCAGAAATTATTTAGAGACCCTCTGGGTTCAAAAGTATGGCACAAGTTCAAGGCATATTTCAAAAATCAACAGGTAACCTGAGTCATGTATTTTTATATATTTATAAGTAAATATGTATTTAGGTAGAACACAAAGTCATTGCAAGCTGGAAATAATTATAATTGATAAAAAAGCGAGGATAAATGAAGTGTTTTCAGCAGGATTGAGTGTTTCCTGTGATAGTAATTACAATGTATTTTCTGTATACAATAGATGGCAAATATATCATCTGGTATATAACAGTATGACTGGAAATTTACATGCATGTTTTTGTTATCATGTAGTTGAGGATCTCCATGACGACATGGACAAGAGCACCAAGAAAATACTGTCGATCATACTTCCCTCGTCTTCTCTGGAATCTTCCTCACTCAGTGTTCTGACTGACTAGTCCATGGGTTGATATTTTTAAAGGATTCACACTTGAAACTCCCCCCATGCTCCTTTGACTGGCTGAAACGAGCCTCACAGAGGATCAGATTAACCTTAAACCATGATTGACCCTAAGTGGCAGACCAGTACAGATGCGGTATTGTGAGCTCATTGTGGGGAGGTCAGTTTCTTCATGCTGCTTGCTACCAATGGAGGGCGGAAAAGTCTGGAATGTGTGAGCATCTAAGCCATGCAGAACAGATGTGACTGCACATTAATGTGGAGATCAGCTGAAAAAAATCAGTTTTACTCAGTCGATACTATAAGCCTCTTTCGTTAGAGTGGCTTCTATCATACATAACAGCAGGATAAAGTAATTGCAGGCAATGGGAGGACAGCAAAACTGTTAATTTTTTATTTACTCTGCAGCATCATTAAAAACTCTAAACATCATTCTATTCTGTGTGCCCACAGTATCTATATTCACAATTTTATACTTGTATATAAGTGTTCATGACATGGGCTATATTAAAACATGATGTCAGACTTACAGTATATAGGTTATATACATCTAACTCTGAAGGGAATTTCTTGTTTACATTGAAGAAAGCAAACAATAGATGTCATGCTTGGGTTGTTTTAACGTGAGATGGAGTACGGGAGGCAGGCACCATAAAATACTTCGTATGGTTCTGAACATGCTTTGAAAAACATTTTTTGGCTGCAGCCATTAACTCCCAACTTTGAAATTCTGACGTGACCCCAGAATTATATTTAACGTAAAAAATACAGGTAAAGTAATTTACCTCTGTAAAAATTATGTGCATGCTAATTTTTTAACTTGCTTTGTGAAGTAATATTTATTGTTTTATTACGAGAAATACATAAATATATAATATTGTACATTTGGTAGTTTTTTTTTTTTTACTGTGCCAATAAATATTTCGATATTTCTTTTCTAACACTGTTTTAGAAGAATACACTTAAATATTCTTCCATTATTCTACACTTATGCACCCAGCGAACATTAATGACTATAGCTAATATTACAGTTTAGATCAAGACCTTGCAAAATACAAACTAAGATGTTAAAAATGATACAGTAACAATACAATAGAAATACAGTATTTCTAGTGCTAACAAAAGTACTAGTTTTCAAAGTAGAGAACAATGTAATATTTATGAACATGATACAAGGTAATTACGTCACTTTGGTGGTTACTTTTGGACAACTGATCCTGTTCTTCAGGATGGCACTGCAACGCAAAGAAAATGTTAATGCTGATATCATTGTTATCATCATGGGTACTTCTCTCAGAATTATTAGGGCACCCAAAAGTCTGTTCAGGACATGCCATTAAACATGGATGGATGGGTGGATGGATGGACGGACGGACGACGGGTGGATGGATAGATGGATGGATTCCTTTTCAGAAAATCCACAGACTTCCTGATTGACATATGGAAAACTGTAAATGGATATTTCTCTATTTTCTCAAACACACTGGGACATGTGGTGTTCACCTTTCAGTTGTCAGCCATACTAAAGGTCCACACGGGGTAGTGGCAAAGACGAGGCTCTGACTTCCCGCCTGTTATTGCGTAGCCCTGACAGCCTGCGGATCTTAAGGAAGTTACAGCATCACCCTAGTGCTCATTTCTGGTCAAACATCGACCTACAATGTAGTATAGTTCTTTCAGCTGTGCGTGACAACACATTTTACCCATTACCTCACAGTATTATTGTGTTCTGATATATGTTTCAGCTCTATAACAATGTCTATACGCATCCTTTTAATCACTTGTAACGACTTGTGTTTTCGTATTGATTTCAGTTACCTTGTTGCATTATAGCTACTGAATGTCAGGTGTAGCACAGCTTGGTTTATGTGTCATTCAGGTGTACAGGCATGTCATCAGTCTCCCTATTTCCATGCAAGGTTGTCTGAATATCAGCTCCATTTACTTCCTGAAAACAGAAATGGACTTTTTTGGTGTTTTTCAGATTGTAATTTAAAGGAAAATGGTTATTCGTTTTTTTTCTACTTGGGCACAGTATTTTATAAAGAAATGTGAATGTAAAAATGATTTATTATTCTTTTATATCAAAACATATTGAAATGAATAAAACACAATCAGTAATTATACCTGTCAAACACCTGTCAAGATTTATTGCCCTAGTGGATATAATGTGCACATACACACACATACATACCAAAACTATGTGCTTCTAATGTAGCAGTGCAGTCAAGTTGGAAGGCATCAAAAAAATAAGCAATTTCATTCTTCACTTAGAAGCATAATCCTTTGCTATGATTATACTTAAAACTGGACTTTTTAAAAACTGGTGTTGTTTCCATGTCTTTCTGCAAGAGACTTGCCAAAAGTAAATTGCATTTCCCTAAAAACAGCACCTTTATGTTGTTTATTTTCTCCATTTTAAGGCAGTAGGCCCTGGTCCAGTCCAGGGTATCTCAGTATGCTAACCAGGATTGATTCACATGAATGAAATCCACATTGTTCAAGTAGCACTTCAAAATCTCACGATCTCATGTAAAAGCACAACAAAATGCAAATAATTCCTGGTAGTCTGTGTTTCACTCTGTACTTATTTTTCAAATCACTGAGAGTTAAGAGAATTGGAGTTCAAATGTTGCATTATTATAATATATGCATTCTGCTGCACTTCTGCTTAACTGTGACTGTTTAGGGCTGTGGAAAATGTGACAGGCAAAAATATATTGTACTTGTTAATGTAAAAAGTGAAATGTAACGTTATTAAGTATCTGAATTAATAGATTCTTTCGGGAACTATGGAAGCTGCTCTGGTAAAGGGTCTTCAGTGTAAATGTTTCAATGGGAATGAATGTGTTGAGCAGATTCCTGCCCAAGGTCTTTGTTTTTCATTTGTTTTTTTCAGATTTTCACAGAAGTACATTTAAAAACAAATAATATATAAAGTTAATGAGCCTGTCAGTCTGGTCCAGTGACATATTAAGCCAACTGATTGTAAAAGTGCCTAAAATAACTTAAATAATATAAATATTAATTGCCCTTCACCCAACTGTTTCATGTCATACATAATGTTCAAACTTTTCATGTGTCCAGTTATATTGTATAAATGTATATATACGAATAAACTACGAAACAACCATTCAGATTTTGTATGCAATTCTATGTGCACAGAAATCACGGAGCATCAGACTTTAGCTAAATTTAATCAACCAGCACAGTCCACCCATTTGTGAGCTGGCATGACATCGAGAACAGAAACCTGTGAAGAAAACTCAGGGTTTTTAATGAGGAAAGTGATTCACCCCAATGGCAACTTTACTGGCTTCTTCTTATCAGCAGTATCACCAAGCCGATGTGTGTAATTATATAGAGGGAGCCACGACCATTGAGCAGACAAGAGTTGGGGGGGGGAGTTGCCAGGTGTCATCAGCCAAAGTGAAAATGCATTCACACAAAGAATACTTTTTTTGCAGATCTGCCATTTGCCCTGACATGATTAGCACAACAGAAGCAGACAAAATTCGATATCTCCTAAAATAACTTCGTCCTCTCTGTTAGCTATTCCTTTTATAGTAAGCTTAATTTAGAGCCGCCCTTCTGTTAACACTCAGAGCACTCGGGTGTCAGTCTGCCCAAAAGAAAGAGACTGACAGGTAGATCTGCCACAGCTTAGTGTGCTTGTTTAGGCAGGGCTTACTGTTTAGGAACTTTGGGATAAAATGTAGAGTTTTTCATTCTGTTTTTGAGTCATGACAAATGCATCTTATAGATATAATTGATCTGGATAGCTGACTAGTTTAATAGTATCTTTGTGCTTTGCTGATTGTTTCAAATGAAATACAAGTAAATTGTGGCTATAATTTGAGACATTATTTTGTAATATGAGCTATATTTCCAACACCACTTTACCACTGGAATTAGTTGCAGGGTGTCAATTCAGGTAAAATTTGCCATCTGATATAAGTGTTAATTATAACACCTGTCATACAACGGAAACGAGGAGGTGTCAGGCAAACAAAAGTGAACTTTTTTGGGGTTAACAAACAGGAGCAGTCGAACAAACCACAAGGGGTCAAAATGGGAAGGTTAGCAAAAGGTAGGGCACAGGGAACAGGAGGTATGATGTCAATGACCAGACTAACAAAGACAGGACAAACAGGTCCTTTTATACATGGGCTACTAAGGGGCAATCAATACAGAAGATCTCATTGTCCTTATCCCTATCCAAAAGAACTTGGTTTTGATAACTCCCAGGAATTATCCTAGGAGAAGTATACTAGTAAAAGTAATAAGCCTATACATTTACAAACAGCCTGGTCTGGTCCAGCAGTCTGGTGTTATTCCTGCCCTCTCAGTCCCCCCAGCTCCAACAGCCTTCAGAAATACATATTTAAATATTAGGCTAATATCTGTCTTGATGATGCAGTAGATCTTAAAGTTCAGCCTAATTTCTAACTCACCTCTTGATTCTGCGCACTGTCCTCATCCTGCCATCTTCCTGCTGCCTGCGCACTGTCCTCATCCTGCCATCTTCCTGCTGCCTGCGCACTGTCCTCATCCTGCCATCTTCCTGCTGCCTGCACACTGTCCTCATCCTGCCATCTTCCTGCTGCCTGCACACTGTCCTCATCCTGCCATCTTCCTGCTGCCTGCCCACTGTCCTCATCCTGCCATCTCCCTGCTGCCTGCGCACTGTCCTCATTCTGCCATCTTCCTGCTGCCTGCGCACTGTCCTCATCCTGCCATCTCCCTGCTGCCTGCACACTGTCCTCATCCTGCCATCTCCCTGCTGCCTGCACACTGTCCTCATCCTGCCATCTCCCTGCTGCCTGCTCACTGTCCTCATCCTGCCATCTTCCTGCTGCCTGCGCACTGTCCTCATCCTGCCATCTCCCTGCTGCCTGCGCACTGTCCTCATCCTGCCATCTTCCTGCTGCCTGCTCACTGTCCTCATCCTGCCATCTTCCTGCTGCCTGCACACTGTCCTCATCCTGCCATCTTCCTGCTGCCTGCGCACTGTCCTGCACACTGTCCTCATCCTGCCATCTTCCTGCTGCCGGCTCCTGTGCCTCTCCTGCCTTCTGCTGACCACCACTTCTTACATTCACATTAAGTTTGCAAAACTGCACCTATACTTTTAATGTAATGTTCTGTAGCTCTTAACACTAATATTTCCTACTTACTCTTCTTTTACCACCAAAAAAGTGTCTGATGTCTCCATTTTTCCTTTTCCTCATAGTGTGTCTGTGAATAAAATCTTATCTATATTTAACAAAACAGTATCAGATGAAGCTTCTAAAAATGTCTATAAATATGAAATTGTGGAATTCAGAATCAATACCACTAAAATTCAAATAATAGGGCTTATTATTTGCTAGCTAGTTTTTTTTTTCGTTGCCCCTATAGTAGGGCTGGACGATATCATATCGATATGATATCGCCCAGCCCTACCCTATACTGTAGGTTTCACTTATATTAATGTTTTTTCAGAGCATAACGTTAGACCTTCTTATGCGTTAACATAGCCTAATAACAAACCACACAGGCTAAAGTGGCGAATTAATTTCAGAAAGGCACAATTTATTCATGATAAAATGAGAATGAAAACAGGGAGTTCATCTCCTTGGAAAATGACCATGATCGATTTTACCTCACCAAATAAGCCTGGTTTAAATAGAGAACTTAGCTTATCTTGCTAGTTAACGTAATTAACGTTGACTGTACCGGTGTTCTGTTGAGTTGAGCTACTTTGTCGAGGTAAGCTATGGTTAGGGCTATCGATTAGCACTACGGTAGCTTACCTCGACAAAGTAGCTCAACTCGACAGAACACCGGCATCAGAAGGACAATGGTAAGTAATTCAACTTATAAAGACGTCAGCTTGCATTAGTCGATGAAACACTTAAACGAATAAATGAAGGTCGTAAAATAACACATTTTCAACAGGCTAGACTTCTGCTGGCTACTTACATTTAGCAATGCACGACAAACAGTACTATGACAGACGAACACAACGAACGAGTCACTCAATGAGAATGAATTAGTGATGGCCGATTCGCGAACGAATCATTCTTTTTAACTCGTTTTTTTAGTGAACGGGTTGAACCGATTCGTAAGTCTGAACGAATCGTTTTTTAAAATTATTTTAAAACGTTTTTAACTGATCTTTGGCTATTCAACATCCAAAAGCATCCCCCGCGAGTTCGGATTTATTTCTCATGTTCCGTCTGCGTTTGTCTTATCACTTTTAAGTTTATTCTTATGTTCGTCACTTTTGCGTTCGTAGATTTCCGTCTGGTGCCGAGAACACCCGAACGGCCGAGTACCTGTTTCTCTAACTCGCTGACTCCAAAAAACCCGAGAGCTTGTTCGATGAACGAATCGAAGTTACGGGTTTTTGGACACTCGTTGACTCAAAAGAGCCTGTTCGATGAACGAATCGAAACTTACGGGTTTTCGGACACTCGGTCGGTGAATCAAACGAACGGTTCGCGAACCGATCCCAAGAGCCCTCGCGGCATTTACTGCGGAAATGCCGTTACGCTGTTAAAAGGAATAAAATAAACGCAGCTCTTCATCATTTATCACAACAGTAAATTATTGCATTTCTGTATAATAAAACTATATGTCTTTCATCAAAGAACAAACTAAGATATTTATCAACTTTGACGTTTACACAATAACGTATGCAAGTTTACTTATGCTCATTGTATGGGTATGTGTGCTGTATTGGTAATATTGCAGTTGTTGTTAACTGTGATGTACTCCTTGATACTCATGCACATGAATTTGGCTTAAGTAAAGAAAATAAGAACTATATATACATATATATTATTCAGCATCGACACGCTTTCTGCTTTTTATATATTGTTTTTTTTTTATTGTGAATAGTCAAGCTTAACATTTTTGTTTAACACCAGCACTATCTTTGTCAAACAACGTAACCGTGAGACAGATTTATTATCCGATCCCACGATTCGTTGAGTCATATGGCCAGGCGCAAAAAAAGAGGAAAAAAAAGAAAGAATCATAGAATCGGTTTTAGAATCGATTCATTACAACGGACAGTTCGAAAGAATCGAATCAGTTAATTTAGCCGAACCTCCCATCACTAGAATGAATGACGCAACCGACTGGCTGCTTCTAGCGCCAAGGTGGTTAAAAAGGTACGGTCCATATTAGGGGTGTCTGAAATCGTTTTACATAAAATTTTCCTATACGGTGAGATTATCTTTTTTTTTTTTAACAACAAAAGAAAAATGTTAACATCGCCCCCCCCCCCGCAAAATGCTATTTTTGTCTCTTTGGGGGGGGGGTCTGGGTCTTGATCGGGGGGTACAGTACCGCCCGTAATTCGAACCATGGTCAGACAGATGTGGCGGGCAGGATGTGACAGTACCCCCCGCCCCCGGGAACAGACGGGACATCGAACAGGACATGGAAATGAGGTGTGACAGCTGTCCATAAAGACACACATTACTATGTACAACAGACCTAGCAGTGTTGCTTAGGGTAAGCTTGCCTGAGACTGAGGTAAGCTACTTTAGATTAATAGGTCCTCAGTCTAGATTTATAGTGAGACCACGGGTGGTGTCCCGCACTCTGACCGATTGTTCTGTAAGCTATGAGTTGAGAGCTAAAGGCTTTACCACCAACAGTTTCTTTGCTTATATAAGTTACTACTAGGAATTTTGAAGTCTCTGTAGTTCAAAGACTATGCATTTCATGCTCTCTGAAGGTTTATATTACACTACTATAAATGATTGCATACATGAATTATCATCAAGAAGAGTACGACATCACCATATATATGTGCAATATATCTAGCATATATCCTGGATGACAAAATAAGTATTAAAAGACCTTTTGTGAAACTTAAGGGTAAAGGTAAGATTTATGAGCTAACAGCAAAGCATTATTAGTATTGCTGCATATATAATAATTAAACTTGAATTTTTTCAAGATTTAGAGACTTGATTTTCACTAATCTTTCTATCTCTTTGAGACAGTTCCTTCGGGAGACTACTGGAGTCCATTAAAATTAATTGATGTGTCTTCATATGTGAAAGAAAATGACTTTTATTCTTTTGTCATATTTGAAGATTTGAATGTGCATTCCACTTGACAGAGCTATTGAATTAAC